CAGAGCCAAAGAGAACAGTGAACAGTGTGTCAAAGTTTAGTTGGGGAGAGCAATATTTTAAGACAGTCAATCACATAAAAATTAATTTTCTTACACAATGAGGAAAATGACTTATATTTTACATGTCATAGAACATATTTTAGTACAGTAATACTATTACTATTAAAACTTAAATAAATATGGGCCTGGCATGGTAGCCTACTGGCTAAAATCCTTGCCTAGCATGCACTGGGATCCCATATGTGCACCAGTTCATATCTGAACAGCCCTACTTCCCATCCAGCTCCCTGCTTGTGGCCCGGGAAAGCAGTCGAGAACGGCCCAAAGCCTTGAGACCCTGCACCCATGTGGGAGACACAGAAAAGGCTCCTGACTCCTGATTAACTTAGCTCTGGCCATTGTGGTCACTTGAGGAATGAACCAGCAGATGGAACATCTTTGTCAATCTGTCTTTCCAATAAAAATAAATAAATCTTAAAAAAACAAACAAACAAACATGGGTCCAGTGCAGTGATCTAGTGGCTGAAGTCCTTGCCTTGCACGCACCAGAATCCCATATGGGCACTAGTTCTAATCATGACTACTCCACATCGAGCTCCCTTTGAGTGGCCTGGGAAAGCAGCAGAGGATGACCCAAAGCCTTGGGACTCTGCACCAGCATGTGAGACCCTGAGGAAGCTCCTGGCTTTGGATATGCTCAGAGCAGGTCACTGAAACCACTGGGGGAGTGAACCAACAGATGGAAGATCTCTGTATATCTGACTTTCCAATAAAAATAAATAAATCTTAAAAAAAAAGATCCAGTCAAAATTTCAACAATCCTCTAAAAAACCTTAAACATAACAATTATTCAATAAAATGACCACTTGCTGCTACTCAGTACCTCAATTCATAGGACCGACCTGAGATTTTCTAGAGTTTTGTTTTCCTGGTCTTCTGCCGTGGACTTGACACTCACACCTCACTCAGTTTTACACATGGAACAGCTGCTGGACACAGTAGAGGAAATGGGCAGTGTACTAAAGTGATACACAGGAAACACCACGGACCAAAAGGCTACCAAAAGCAGCATTTTAAAAGGAAAAGAATCTTCTAATAAAAAGTTCTCAGTGGGGTTGTCTTTGAAGACAAAATATTGAAGTCAGCTTTAAAATATCACTGAATATAGCATGAAAATTCCTTTCATGGGATTTCACTTTCTATGTAAATCATATCCTGATTCTTTCTTATACACCTTTGAAAAGTACTGTGAATAGAACATATTGTACAAGATTCTAAAAAGCTTTGGTTATCATTAAAATTTTGAAAATTGCATGATTACATATCATGCAGTTTAGAGTTTTATAAATGTGGATGCTCAAGACATTACATCCAAATAGATAATTTACTTTTCAAATCTATCCAGTTGTAGAAACATCTCACAGTTCACTTAAATAATATTTACTGAAAACAGTGTTTGTAAACTCCTTAATATCATCAAGCATGAAGAATTTATATCTCTATTAAGCCAAGGAGTGATTTAAATAGCTCCTCAAATCAGTGTCTTGTCACATAAGATTATTGCCAGGTAACTTTGTTTCTAACAAAAGCAAATCACTGCATTTAGGCTCAACATGTGTGTGAAAGAGGAACAATGCAAACCATAGTGCAATGGAACCTAAACCATATATATTAAACAATTTTTGGAGAAGCCACTATCATCCTGAAATTTAATATAGACAATAACTAAAGAGTTTAACCTCACAAGGCTATTTATTAATCCTGCAGCTGAGCAGATCCAAAGCCAGGAGCCAGGAGCTTCTTCTGGGTCTCCCACGTGGGTGCAGTGTCCCAAGGCTTCAGGCCATCCTTGACTACTTTCCCAGGCCACAAGCAGGCAGGGTGCCTGTGCCACCGAAGCTGCTGTAGGCCCTGTCGTTGTAGGTATTGAAGTCCGCCATTTGCCATCTATGCTTCAAGAAGGAACCAGCTTTCTTAATGTGTTTTTAGTAAGATTTTTTTCTAATTATGAAATACATGATTAGTGGAAAATTAGGCAACAAAATCATCAAATTTCTATCATTTTACCAACATTTCCCTCTGGGATTTTCTTAACAATATTTTTATCATTTTTTTTTGGGAGGCAGAGATACAGTAAGAGAAAGGGTAGGGGAGATCGCAAGGACAAAAAGAAGGAGCAAGAGCACTCCTGTCCACTGAGCCACTCTGAATGCCAACAGCAAGCCTTGGCTGGGGCTGGTGCTTGGAGCCAGAAACTCAACCCAGGTCTCCCAGGGTCTGCATTAGCAAGAAGCTGGAGTCAAAATCCAGAGCTGGGGAATGAATTTAGGAAGTTCCAGAAATTTTTAGAAGAATTCAGTCAGGCTTACGACAGATGCAGTTAATATGCATGGACTGTTGGCAGGACTGCACCAGTGGTATAATGGAGGTATTACGTAACCAGCAGAGTTGACTTCAGAAAAGTAAATGCTATCATTATTTGGCTTCATTGTAGTTGTTTTTCCTTGACAAATATCATTTTAGTAGATATGTAAATTATAGCTATTATATATAGAGAACCTTATTTAATAATACAATCTTCGCATTAACCATAACAATTAGCAGTCTTACTTTACAAAACAAGAGCCTGAAAGCAATCACACAGTTTATGAGAAATTGAGAATTTTAGGAGCACTCCGATTCCAAGGGCATTTTTCTACTACAGCTCACTTGATTCATCATGACTACCATAATCTGCTTATTGAGGCCCTGTGGCTAGGCAACACAAATACCCATGTTCTCCTCTCTTTCTAAACGAATAATGTTGAAAGTAACAGATTGGTATATTTGATTGGTTATTTATCCCCCAAAAGAGCCTTACATTTTGGATTATTGCATTAAATGCAGAAATTTTTATATTTATTTTTTAAAAATGTGTTCAAAAAGCAGAAAGAGATCAAATGAATTCACATCTACTGATTCACTCCTCAAATGCCCATACTGCTTGGACTGTTACTGAGTTCAGCCAGAGCTGTGCACCCAATCAAGATCTCTCACTTGGGCAGCAAGAATTATTTGAACCATCTCTGTCGCCTCCCAGGATCTGTATCAACAGGAAGTTGATGTCAGGACACAGCTTTGGATATCAAACTCAGGCACTGTGAAACGCAATATGGATGTCTTAACTACTAGGCTAAACACCTGACCAAACTGAAACACTGTTGGTTGTTTGTCTCAATAGGGTCTAAATTATAATTCAACTTACAAAGCATACAGCCTACACCTTCACTGCATTTTTTATGAAAGCTATGATGTGCTTAACAGATGAAAAGCTAAATTCTTTTTATTTAGCATATATATAAGCAGACAATCATTGAACCATATGACCATCACTGAGATTAATGTAACAAGAGGAAGATGCTTTTGCAAGCAGAGAGGGCATCCAAGCCAGCTTTAGAGAGGTTCTGAAAACTTTTTGAAAATGCTGAAGGAGGCCTGAGCTCCATCTTGGAACAAAATTGACAACCCCACTCAGAATCTATTGTTTCTTCATCAGTGGTTCTTTAGTGGGCCACTTTAATATTTCTCACGGTCTCCTTGGGCTCAGCTTCCTTATCCTGAGGGACTACATTTGTAATTAACTCAGCAGAACTCCTCTACCGGCCCATCCCCCAATCCAGCAGAGAATGCAATAGACATTTGTTGAATTATTTTTAAGCTCTAATTTCAAAGCCATTTTTTCTGATATCTGTTGTGACTGTAAAATAATACCATGAGTCACAAACCCATCACAGAGGTTAAAAAGGAAGGAAACAGCATGTATCTGTGAGGCATAATGAGCAACAGGGATGTTCATATGATGCAGGCAGTAGCAATTGGCATAAATGTTTTGGAAAACTTGGGAGTACTGATAAAATTGGCTCTTCGTCTAGGACCCAGCAATTCCACTTCTACACATATGCTCAGCACAACACACACATTACCAAAAGGCAACTTCACATCCAAAGTGGTCCTGCTTGTAACAGCAGCAAACTATGAAATATAAATGCTCACCAACAGAATGGATATGCGGATCACAGTGTAATCACACACAGCAAAGAAAAGTAACCTACATGCCATGTGAAGACATTTCATAAGAACAATGTTGAGGGAAAAGGGCAATATTTTTCCAAAGTACGTACTGTGGATAACTTTTACAAGGCATGGAAAGAGGATTGTGAGAAGTCAGGGGAGGTCAGCTGGTGAGGGGCAGTGTGACAGGAAGGGGACAGCACCAAGGATTTGTGAGTGCTGGTGAAGTGGTTTCTTCATCTGTGTATTGTTTGTGCCTTTCTCTGCACTGATAACAGTTTTGTGTTGCTTGAGAGAAAGCTGGAGAATGGAGCAGGATTGTGGGTGCATTCCCTCCAGCTGTCTTTTTTTTTTAATGTGGACATGGTGTCCCTCTCCTCTAATAACACACACACACACACACACACACACACCCTACTTTGCCACATTACCTTCATCTAGTTTTACTCCTGCTTTTTTAAAATTTAAACCATGTCATCAAATACTCTCTCTCTCTCTCTCTTTTTTTTTTTTAAGATTTTGCAATATACTCCAAGGGAAGTATGTATTCCAGTACATGTCATCAGCAACCATTGTCATATTTAACTCAAAACAATATCAGGGCACAATCATGCACAGAAGAGCTAGCAGCTCACAAACCTTCTTTAAGCCCTGTCGGTGCTCTGTTTTCTCCCCATAAAGGTTGCCCCAGTGACAGCCCAATTCAACCCCAGTCATTTATCCCAACTTCGGACTAAGGAAGCTGCGTCCTCAGCGCGGCTGGGACGCTGGGTTCCCGGGCCTGCCACCTGCCCCCATCAGCCTCTCCCAGCCGCCGCGGGAGCTGCGGAGTGCGGCTTTCCAGGGTGGCCTCCAGCACGCCCAGGTCCCGCCGCGCCTTGCGGCCCGGGTTGCCATGGGAACCGCGGAGCACGGCTGTGCCCGCAGACCAGGCTCCATCTGAGGGGGGCGAGGGACCCTGTGGGCCATGGAGCTGCCGGACCCCGTTCGCCAGCGGCTGGGCAACTTCAGCCGCACCGTGTTCAGCGACTCCAGCCGGACTGGGCCAGAATACAATGAAGGTCCCGGTGAGTGGCCCAGAGCAGGCACAGGGGGTGTGACCCGCGCGGGTTTTGAAGCGTCCAGATTTTACCCGGACCTAAAATGGCGGTCTCGCCTTCAGCGGGTTCTCTGTGGCTGGCAGGAGAGACCTCCCTGGAGGCGGTACTGGGCTGAAGGCCCGCAACTCGGCTCGGTTCGCTGCTGCTGTTAGCTGCTGCTTGCTTGAGGTGGTGTCACCCTTTCTGCCGCGGGAGCTTCAGTGCCACGCTGGCGGAGAGCGCAGCCATAACACACACTCATACAGAGCCGTCGTCACAGCTCGCAGCTTGGCCAACAGCTCCGTGGCGCAGGGGCCGCCCTGGCTTCCCTGACGCGAAGGGAGAGCAGCGATCTCCCTTCCTGACCCTCCAGCACAGGAAAAATAGCTTGTCTTTCCTCATTCCCTAGCAGAACACATAGGTTCCTCACAAGATGATTTTCTGGCAAAAGAGATGAAAAACGGCGCTCAGCTGTGGAGCGGCAGCTGCCGTACTGCGGAGGCCTTCAATAAAATTCACCCCCTTCCCGACTTCTCTCTACAAACAAACCCCTTTATCTAAAATCTGGTAACTGAGGTACTAAGATCTGCATGATGACCAGTGACAAGGCAGTTCCCACCCACAACCGTGGCATAATGACCAAATCCATGTGGCTGTCACTTCTGAACTCGGCTGGGAAATGGCTTTTCCTCTGCTTGGTTTCAGATTTTTTTTTTTTTAATACAGGGAGCAGAGAAAAGCCAAGCCAGCGGTGTAGTTACCTTTTGTCCCCTGGGTCACTTGCCTCTCCCTGACAGGCCTCTGGGTGAGTTAGGATGTACAGAGAAAAACATGAACGATTAGATCTTCATAGCTCCGATGCTAAAGGTGAGGCGTAGGCACTGAAAATCCCAGAGCTCAAGGTACTGGGGGCAGCATTGTGTCTACGTGCGTCAGGCTTTACCAGCCATTTAGTTTCTGTAGGAGCTGCAGATCATAGTACTGCAACAGGCATGGCCATGTTCCAGTAAAACTTTATGCACACTGAAATCTGAATTCCATATGGTTGTCACATGTCACAAAATAATCCTCTGATGTTTTCCAGCCATTTAAACGTGTGAAAGTCATTTTTGGTTTACTAACCATTCAAGGAGGAAACCAAAAAATAGTTTGCCTGCCCCGGTTCATAGTATATGTTTTAAGTTTGGTTTTAAAAACTCAACTATATCTTTCTTAAAATTTAATAAACTCACATCTTATATTTTCAACGTTCATTTACCTATTAACTTGGTTTTCAGTTGCATGATCATAAATGTGATCCACGGAATTATGCAAATAGACTAACTTCTAAGGTTTCAAAGTGCTTTACAAAATTCTGACCTCTTTTGTGCTGATTCCAAAAATACTAAAATTTTCAGGTTGGCCAATTTATCATTGTGTCCCCACCTTTTCTCCTTCATGGAGCTGAAGTAGGCTTGATTATCTGCATCATTCTCATGCCACAGCATAACAATTGTTATGAAAAAAAATCTAAGCCAATGAAGTATTCCCAGATTAAAACTTCATTGCTTCTTAGTGGCAGTATAGTAAGCAGATGCAAATAAAAGGAAATCATAATAATCAAACCTATTCTTGGAGCTACTGGAACCATCCTGCTGTGAGAATCTTTAACAATTTGTTACATCTTAAAATTAGTAAATAACAGATTTTAAAAATAGTTGTGAGGAAAAAAGGAAAAGTAATAAATTTACAGCCTTTGTAAAATCTTAAATTTAGAGCAACCAATTTCAAAATTTGTTCTTCAGAATTTTGGATAGATTTAGGATGTGTTTTTAAAAGTTTAAGTTTAAAATCAGATTCTTTACTTTGGGCCCCTTGCTTTACATTGAAGCAAAACAGTTTATGTATTGGAACTTTGATAAACAGAACACATGTATTACAAAAGGCTACATGGGTCACATCCTATTACAGAATTTTTTCTCCATTCATCCTGTGTACGTGTGTTTGGTATTTACTATAAGAGAAGTAAGATGCCAGGTTCTGTGAGAATCTCAAATTTGGATAGGACCTGGTCTCTGATAGACAGATGAGAAGAGAGCTAATACCGGATGACAACCTACTAAGTGTCCCAGGCACAGACTGTGATGAAGTGGTTTATATTATCTCTGATCCTCACAAGTAACCTATGGAATGGTTTGAATGCTAACATTTTACAGGTGAAGCTTTGACTCACAGAGGTCCAACAATTTACCCCAAGTCTGATGTCTGGAGTCACAAGGATTCAGGAGGTCTGGGTTTTTTCATACACTCTAAAGTCCACCAGCTCTTCAGATTGCATTTCTCGCAAAGGGCAGGAGGGTATGGTTCTTTGCTACTATGTATACACAGTTTAGAGCAAAGTGTCTGGAGGGTATTTTGCTGCAGTTGGGAAATATGATTAAGGAAGAGCTTACTGGAAGAGATAGCAACAAATTGGGCATTAAAGAATGGTTGGAGTGACCACGGTGGTACCGTAGGCTAAGCTATTACGTAGGTGCCCACATCTTATATCAAAGTGCCTGGTCAAGTCCAGGCTTTTGATCCAGTTTGCTGCCACTGCAGTGGGAAGTGGCATATAATGGCCTAAGTTTTGGGGATGCTACCTCCCACATGGGAGCCTCAGATGGAGTTTCTGAGTTCTGGCTTCAGGCTTGCCTAGCTCTGGCTGTTGAAGGTATTTGGGAACTGATCCAGTAGATTGAACACAACTCTGTTGTATCCAGTCTGTACTTCTTTCTCACTCTTTCAAATAGATAAATCTTTTTAGAAAAATCAGTGGGATTAAGGTATGTGGAAAGAGGAATATGACTAATTTGGGGGAACTAATATACCTAAGAGTCATTTTTATATGTGTTAAACTTATAAGTTATTTACATAGTATACTACAAAGGCAATGATAATCTTTTCGAGAATTTATATTGATATTCTACATTTAATCTATACAGTAGTATGTAAAAGAGTCAGCAAACTGATGGCAAAATGATAAAGTAACTGAGAAAAATAATTAACTGTCCCCCCCCCCCGAGTAATTAATATTTGATTAAATGGTATTAGGATGAATATGTTCCTTTCACTTTCCATAATAGGCAACTTAAAAGTCAGAGTATTATTGAGCCAACATTATGGTTACTTTCTTAGAAGATTTTTTTTATTGGAAAGTCAGATTTACAGAGAAAAAGTTCTTATGTTCACCAGTTCACTCCCCAAGTGGCTGCAACTGCTGCAGCTGAGCTGATCTGAGCCTGGAGCCAGGAACCTCTTCCTGGTCTCCCACAAGTGTGCAAGGTCTCAAGGTTTGAGGCCATCCTGTACTGCCTTCCCAGGCCACAAGCAGGTTGCTGGATGGGAAGTGGAACAGCCAGGATGTGAAGCAGTGCCCTTATGGGATCCCAGTGCATTCAAGGTGAGGATTTAGCCACTAGGCTCTCTCACTGGGCCTCCATACTATGATTTCTAATTTGAAGAAACAAAAGGATTCATAGGATTAAAAATGTGTTTCTCTCTCTCTTCTGTAGATAATGAAATGGCCTCCAGTTTGCCACTGCAAATGTCACTTTATTTTAACACTTACTTTTTCCCACTTTGGTGGGTAAGTTGCATCATGATGCTTCAAATGAAGGTAAGTCTGTGCTTTAATGTATCTATCACCTACTGACATCATTACACTCAGTAAAAGGTAGTGGTTGTGGCGTACTTTCATACCTGGGTCAAATATGAAGTTTTGCAAAATTTATTGTGTTTTTTTTTCTTTTTTCAGTATTCAGTCTTGCCTGACTACTACAAATTCATTGTGATCACGGTGATCATTCTAATAACCTTAATTGAAGCCATTCGTTTGTATCTGGGTTACATGGGTAACCTACAGGAAAAGGTATGCTCTGTTTTCCTTTCTCTCAATGCTGCACATAAATGTTAAAGACAGTAAGATATGTTTGGACAAACATAAGCCTCACTTGAATACCTGGCTCCAACTTTGCCACATCTGCTACTATGGCCTGTTTACTTAATCTCTTGAGCTCCTGGTTTCATCATTGATAAAATGGGGGAAATCAAACTTCATAGGCTTGTTGGGATTAAGTGAAATGCTTGATATCAACTATCCAAATTTAATAAGCACTGAAGAATGGATAGTTTGCCTTCTTCAGTCCCAAGAATACTTATTGGTCAGCTAACCATGTTCGTTTGGATCCTGAATGAGAAAATGGGGGAGAGGAGACTTTTAAACACATTTCTTATGCCACAGCTATGCTTTCTGAATCATTACACTGCCTAAGCACGTATGGTCATCAGAATGTGGACACAATGTCTGAACATGCCTGTGGCTTTCTAGGCCTTTCATAATTAGGCCCTATGCAGCCTGGCTTATTGTATTTCTTGGTATTTCCTAACCCAGCCATCCATTCCAGGTTGATGTGTTGGTTCCCAGTCATGCTAATTTCACATGTTTGCTTACTTACATTCTTGCCTTCTCCTCCTTTTACACAACTTTAAAAATTTATAACCTTGGGGCAGGTATTTTGTCTAGCAGTTGCAACACCAGTTGAGACGCCCACATCTTGTATCGGAGTGCCTGCATTTGAGTTCTGGCACTGTTCCCTATTCCACCTTCCTGTTAATGGTCACTCTGAGAGCGTTAATGCTCACCTGAGCTAGTAATGACTCAAGGGGGTGGGTCCCTGCCCACCCACAAGGGAAAAATGGATGAATTCCTGGTTCTCAGCTTCCATCTGGCCTAGCCCTGCCAGAATTTGGGAAGTGAACCAGAAAATGCAAACTCCGTCTCTAAAACAAAGTAAATAAATAAACACAATATTTTAATAAAACCTTTCTTTCAGTTTATCCTAGTCATTCTTATTTAGCCCAACATCTCTAAGTATCATTTATTCCAGTATCTCTAAATGTTGCAATTAAACATTCACTGACGTTTTTAGTATCTAGGATCGCATAAGCTAGTTTTCTTATCTGTACTGTAGGACAAAGACTGCATCAAACTCTTTGAGTTGTTCAGTTGATAATGTAGATCCATAGTAGTGTTAAGTACTTGTTGATCTGTAAAAGCAAACACTGCACTGACCTCATCCTTTTCATCTTTACATCTGTCATTGCAGGTTCCCGAGTTGGCTGGCTTTTGGCTTTTGAGCCTTCTACTTCAGCTGCCTTTAATTCTTTTTTTGCTATGTAATGAAGGGCTAACAAATCTGCCTTTGGAAAAAGCGATACATATCATCTTCACTCTCTTCCTTACTTTCCAAGTTATTTCAGCATTTCTTACCTTGAGGAAAATGGTCAATCAGTTGGCAGTCCGCTTCCACCTCCAAGACTTTGACCGGCTCTCTGCAAACAGAGGAGACATGAGAAGGATGAGATCATGTGTAGAAGAGATTTGACCTAGTGCTGTTGAATGAAAATCTGAAAGTTGACTTTTGAAGCCTGCAAGAGTCAGGAAAATGTGAGAGATCCAGTCTGAGGAAATGGACAGGGCAAGTGTGTTGAAGTGTTTACTCTTGTGAGCTCTGAGATCAAGGTCACAGGCAATGTAAGGACAATATAACAATATAATACCTAGATGTTGCGCATCTGTTGCCAAATTTCTTAAAGCTCTTGATGATGTTTTTTCCAACTGTGGAAAAATCTGCCTGGTAGTTGTGGTTTACCAGTTTTACCATTTCTGTTTAGGAGCTCCAACCAGGATGGCGTACATTTTTTTAAAGTTGTCATTAATCCATAGCTTGACAATAGACCATGTTTTTTGAAGTACGTAAAAATTCTAACCAATATTTTTGTGAATTAGGCTATATTTGTAAACCGAAAACCAAATGTTTGTATTTGTTTGGGTTAATTTCTAACCCTAGGATTTGTTGTTACGTCAAGGTTAGGAAGAAAACAGATTATCTTGGTATTAAATATTTTTCTCACAGAATTGTAACATTCACAAAACTATGTTCAGTATTTGTGGTGGCAGTGTGTAAAATGTTTTTATAATAAATTATCAAATATTTATGTTGATAACAGCAACAATCCTTGCTTTGCACAGTTCTTTTGGACTGAGTGTTATTATTTTATACTAGAATTGCAACAGAAGGCAAGAGAAGGCGATCAGAGAGCCTTCTATGTAGACAGCACTCTAAAAGGCACATACAATTAGCTTTTGTGTTCTCATATACGGATAGTTATTCACAGAAGAACTCCATTTTAGTCATTAAATTTACAAGAAGTTTGAGTTGAAAACCAGTCTGTTTCAGTGATAGTTACGATGGACAAAAAAGACTATATCCTTTCTAAATTAATATATTTATTTATTTGAATGGCAGAGTGATGGGGTGGGGAAAGTAAGAGGAGAAAGAGAGGTTTTCCACCTACTGACTTATTCCACAAATGGTTTCACAGTTAGGCCTGGGCCACATCACAGCTGGGAAACAGGAATGCCATCTGGATTTCCAATGTAAGTGGCAGGGCCCATGCACACGGGGCATTGTCCACTGCCTTCCAATTGGTAGTTTAACATGCTGTGCCTCAGCAATGTTCCCAGGACTAATATGAACCTAAATTTGCATGTTCTCCTGTTGAAGAAGGAAACCCATTGAAGTAATTTGGCTTATGTTAAGAGAGATAGTATTTTTACTTCTGATTTTCTTCGTATAGGGAAATGCACCTTTGTAAGTAATATGTTTTACTGAGGGAATAATTATAGCTAGATTAAAAATTGTTCTTTCCAATTTTCTTTTTCAGCAGCTCATGTTCATTTTAAGCTTTGCATGTTTTGCCTTATTTATCTTATTGTTAAATCTACTTTAAAAAAAAAAACTTTTTGAAACATAGAACAGAGAAATGAGAGAGCAAGTGCTCTCATCTGCTGATTCACTCCTCAAATGCCTGCAACAGGCCAGGGCTGGGCCAGGTCGAAGACAGGAACTTCATTCAGTTTTCCCACTTGTAAGACAGGAACCCAATCACTTAGCCCATTATAATGTTGACTCCCAGGGTGTGCATTAACAGGAATCTGGATTGGAAGCAGAAGTGAGATTTGAATCCAGGCGCTCTAGTAAGGGAGGTGGGCATCTAAAGCAGCAATTTAACTGCCACACCACCATGCCTGCACCACCTTACTCAGCCCTATTATTCACTGCTTTTTGAATAAAAATGTCTTCACTCTCTACTCAATCTTGGTTATATCTGACCAAGCTATGCTATCTTTACTTTTTCTGCCTTTTATTGTAATGTCTGAAGTTCAGCCAAGGATTTCTTCTTTCACACAGTGACTGATTTTTCCTCTACACCAAAGTAATTACTAATTACACTCTAATAATTTGAAGTTCCAACAGTACTCTTTGAATAGTTGCCTGAAATATATATTTGTTTGCATTTGTTTCCCAGACAGAAATAGGTAAGTGGTGATTCTATATAGATATATATACATATTTACATATATATAAAGGTATATATAGATAGATAGATAGATATCAGATATATATATCAGATACATTAAGGAGATGAGTGTTTTCTGTTATGTAGCAAGATAGAATGTATATATATATATATATATGGGAGGGGCCTAAGGAAAACAAGGCACCTGTGGAAAGGAACCGTAGCTGCCTCTAGCAACATGAGAAGCACACCTTATAGGGGCCCAGTCCAAAATCCTGCCCAAACCCCCAGTCACTTCACAGGTGGTCCCAGCTTTCCGCCCTCAAGGAAAACTCCCCAGAAATACTCCTCTCTGCACCAGTCACATATGGCACCCTGGGGGAGCCAAACAAGCTGCTCAGCCTAATAACACTGGGTCATAAGAGAGGAATTAGACCTTTCACACACCCAGACAGCCCTTTGTATAGAAGAGGGAGGAGGGAAAGGAGAAGCATCAGGAAAACCTGGAGCCCCTCTCCTTAAAAGCCCCAGTCTGAATGCAGACTGTGCTCTCAGTCCTCCACTGAGACGCCTGCTCTGGTAGGGGTACTTCCTCTTCATGATTTCTCTTTGCTGCCTCCTTCAAACTCCTCTATGCCTCATGCCTGAATTCTTTCTTGCACAAAGACAAGAACTTCCTAAATGACCAACTGCCAGTAACAATTACAGAGTTTTTTAAATAGCAGAGCCTGTGGTGCATTTAAACTTTAATTAAGGATTAACAGATTAATAGCTAGAATGTTAATCAAAATGATGAAAGTATTTTAAATGGAAAAAAATTAAGAAAATTATTCATCAAAATTTTCAAATCATTTTGCTACTTGAATAAACATCTTGCTTACAATGTAGGTAGGTATTAGCATTGTCTCGTGGTTCCTTATGCAAATCAGAATTGAGGGTAAAGACTTTTGCAGGTCTTCGTATTTAGGTTGCAGGGAGTCTTGTTTTAATTTTATTTTGATATGTTTCTCTCCCTAATGTACTCTTTGAAGGGTTCCCAACACTATTTGCACAATGTCTGGTTAAGAGATTGATATTCACAAATATTTTGTCCTCCAGATATTTTTTTTTTCTCCCAAAAGCTTCTTCGTTTCAAAGGGGCAAAGTGAGTCTAAATTTCTGTGAATCAAAATGATTTTTAAATATTGAGTTTTATTAACATAAAATGTTTGGAGGCCTAATTTATTTGAGACAGGGTAGAGGGTTGGCAGATCAAATATGCTCCCAGGCATGTCTGGGAAGTGAAACATTTGCACAACTTTGAAACAAAAGAGCAATGTGTAGCATCATCGGGGAGGTGCACAGGGAGGTGTATGGACCCAGAGTACCTCCCAGGCGACAGGTGCCAGGCTCTTCCGGTCCAGTGTTAGCAACTTAATATGACCTTCGTCTCACTCCACATTGTCTAAAATATTCAGATTAAGTGCAACCTTACTTGTCTGAACATCCTGCATGTCTGAACAAATAAGATGTTTACTTTTTGGTGGAAAAGACAGATAAGCAAAATAACAATAATATCAAGAACCCAGTAGGCTCACTGAGAAGAGCCATCTGGAAATCCTTCCACAAGAAAGGGTCTCTTGAAAGATGAAGACTAAGCATGAAATTCAATGTTGAGAGATAAAAATATTACTGTTGTGGGCTTTATAAGCATTTTGGTGGGCCTGGCATGGCGGCTCAATTGGCTAATCCTCCCATTGCTAGCATTGGGATATCATGTGGGCACCAGATGATGTCACAACTGCTCCACTTCCATTCTAGTTCTCTGCTTATGGCTTGGGAAAGCAGGAGAGCATGACCCAAGTTCTTGGAACCCTGCACCTGTGTGGGAGACCCAGAAGAAACTCCTGGCTCCTGGCTTCACATTGGTTCAGCTCCAACCATTGCAGCCATTTGGTGAGTGAACCAGTGGATGAGAGATCTTTCTGTATTTCCTCCTCTCTGTAAATCTACCTTTCCAATAAAAATAAATAAGTCTTTTAAAAATCTATATTTTTTATGTAAGTAGTTTGGTGAAGTTGGTGGAAAGGGTATATAGGAAGAAATGGTTCCGAAAGAGGTAGAGAAGCTAGGAATATACTTGAAAGCTAAGGAGGAGGTTTGCATATTCTGAGTCTCTGAGTCTCTAAATAGTTTATATAATGGAGTAGCATAAGCAGATTCAGGTTTCCAAAAATCTCTCTGAAGACTGAGGAAAATGGATTGAAAAGGTAAAATTAGATGCAGAGAAACCAAAAAATTTGATAAAGTAATTGAGGGGGGGAAAAGGCGGCTCTGGAAAAAAGTCAGTGGAATAAATACACTTGAATAAATACAACCTATTAAAGATTTAAGAATTTTTTTTTTTACATTTAAAAATAGGTATTGGAAAATTTTTCAGAGATGGACTGCAATGTTAAATGACACACTCAAAGTGGACATTTGTGTAGTGGCTAACACAGCTTGGGATGTCTACATCTTATATTGAGTGTTTAAGTTTGAGCTTAAACACTCTCCTTCTAGCCCAGCTTCCTGCTAGTGCATCAGATGGTAGTTCAACTACTTGAGTCTCTGTTACTCACTTGGGAGACCCAAACTGAATTCCAGCTCCTGGCTTCAGCTGTTACAGGAAACTGGGAAAAAGCAAACGATGGAAGACCTTTGTCTCTCTTTCAAATAAAAATGAATTTAAAAAATTTCCTGTTCCATTGCCCACACTTATTAGATTGTCAAACTAAAAAAGCTCTTCCTGAAAGACTTTTATAAGTTTTATTTGACATAAGCTACTTAAATGATTATTTAAATCAGTTAAGATTATAGTTTTAGTTTTAGAATTGAAATAGAATCACAAGATTTTAAGAGTAAAGAAAAGTCATCTATAATTCCATAGCCAAAATAGCAACTAATGGCAAATGTCATGTTGCCTTGAAGTTTTCCCTTGGTAAACTTTTTAGAAACAGTTGTGATCATAGGCATTTACCTTGTTACACTCTGATATCCTAAAATAGTGTACATATTTGACCCATGTTTTGACATCGGCACCTAATCATTAGGTTGCATTATTCCAGTAAGTACATGAATCATAACTTATTTAACATCTCTCCTTTTGAATAGTTGTGTTGTTTTCTTCTGTTGCTCTTAAATATAACATTAGAACGAACATCTCACATCAACTCACTGTTTTTTTCCGTATCTTAGATGATTCTTTTTATTTAATAAGCCGGATTATTGAATGAAATTGCTGACTCACCAACAATTTTTAGGGCTCTTGATGCATACTGACAGATCGAAATACACACTTTCTGCCTTTTACCACCCACAGTTCTAAAAATAGTACTACAAATATTTTGACAAAGATAGACTTAGGGACCTTAGTTACCCATTTGTCTTTGTATTCTTAGTAGCTCCCACAAGAACTACTCTGAGTCTCCTGAGGAGGGAAAAAAAAAATCTGAAAGCTGTGAATAGGGAAATACAAAGAAAAATAAAAAAAAAATTTTGAATTAAGGGAAAACTGATAAGGTACAGGAAAAGGATTAGGCAAGCTGGTCACAGTCAGGAACAGACAGTGAGATGTGACAATAAAAACTGGGTCATTGAGTTGGGATAGCCCTAGGACATAAAAAGAATGA